AAGCAACATAACCAATACCTTCCAATGTGTGAATGCTGCCCACAAAGCCAATTCTTTGCATATATCATTAAATGTATCATCTGAATTCTATCTCAAGTTCCATTTGAGTCCAAGAGTTTCTATGTAAACTTAAAAAAAAAAAGTCATCTATCATACATCAGGATCAACATACATTTTGTACAGACAAGGAAAACATTGGCCCCAGCTTCATGGAAAAGTGATGGGATACATTATCTGTGCTTATTGGCAGGACTGGTGCAATTTACTGGCATGCCTGAGGAGTTTCTAACCGTTATGCAACATATCTCCATTTATAGACAGGATGGCTTTATCATGCAGTAGCAGGGAAGCCTGGCTGAGAGGAAAGCCAAAGCTTCCCTTTGAGTTGCCTAGCTCCACACTACATGCAAATCTCAGCAAGAGTATGGAAATTACAATCTTATTTGAATATAAATCACATTCCACTTTGGTGTAGGGAAAGTGGGAACACTTCACATGTTGAATAATGATGACATATTAATTATTGTCTCTTGAAAAAAATGACTGAAGGTATGGAGGGACTGCAGAAGAGCTTCTTGGGCTACTTTAAATACACTTATACATTGATAAAAATATACGATATCAAAATAGGGTTCATTTGGGGTTTCTGCCAATTTTTGTTTGACTGCATTCATCAAATGCTTATGGGCAAGGATATTCAGTTTAGAAATGAAACCAAAGCTGTGTTCAAAGACAAATGCAGTCAGATCACATATGCAAGGCTCTGCCATTTTGGAAGTCGCTCCACATCAATGCCTTGATTAATGGTTTTGCTACTATGCAGAGGTGGTACAGAATGCTTTATATAACTTCATAAGTAGCACCAATTTTAAGTTGCTTCCTGTATAGGTGCATAGGCTCTCTGGAAGGCCATCACTGTCATTTAGACTGTATGAATTTAGCAATCTATGGATTTAAGATGACTTACAGCTAACAGAGCTGTGGTTCTCTGTGCTTCAAAAACACCCAGGCTCCTTCTTATTTATGTAATGCTTAGAAGGCGACCTTCTTTATTTTGTTCTCAGGACTCAATCAGATATCATCTCCGAGGAAATGGGGACCAGGCACCTTTTTTATTCTATCACAGTTTCAACAGAGGGAGGGAGAACAACTGCAGTGTACTGGAAGGCACTCTGGAGTAAGAGTTGAGAAAGCTGCTTTGGCAGTGGTACTAACTTGCTCTCTGACTGAGAGAAATCACTTCACTCTCTAGGATGTGGTTCTCCTATTTACAAAGTGACAGATTCAGGGGCATAGGAAGAGAAGGAGGTCCCCTTTAATGAAAGTTATCCATGTATTGGACACTATGCAAGTGCTTTAATGTATTATCTCATTTGGTCCTTACAACTACCCTAGGAGGTAGACACTGGTATTCTTCCCATTTTACAGAGAGGGAAGCTGAGGCTCAGAGAAACTATTGATGTTTCAAATAATGCTCAGAAGAATCTCAGGAGACCATGAAATTGCCTCTGGAACCCTGAACTTATTGACAGTGTAGATATCTTGACCTTCAATTTCAAGCAAATCTAGTTTGCTCCTATATGTTGCATATATTGAGTTTCCATGTAAATGTTTCTGCCACTAGAGAGACAGTTGAAAATATTTAGTAATCTCAAAGATCCTGTCTGTCTCCAACATTCCATACAATATCCAGTCACTATAAGAAAATACTAAAAGTTAGGTGTATGCTGTGCCTTTTTATTAAAGAACATCAATTTCTCATATAAATTGAGAGTTTGAAATATTACAAGTTGTTCTTGGTCTTATTATAGAAATAGACATTCCTGAGTTTCCCATGATTCAGGGTGTTTTTACTTCCACACAGAAAGCCAGATTGATCTGGATAAGGCCATGGTGAAGCAAACATGTGAAGAGGGTAGGTAAGTTTATGCCTTAGACTCAGTTATACTGGGCAAACCAAAGCAAAAGTTTAGGGTGAAGTCAGGACTGTTTTTAATTCTCTAAGTCACTTGAGGCGGAGGTAAGCTATTAGGCTTGCCCCACTTAGATAAGGCCTGGACAATCTCCAGTTCCCCAGCTAATTAGGCAGCCCCTACTGCCCTGTGGAAATTTCCAATACTGCATACTGTTATAAATATGACTAAAGTACCCCATATTGGCTGTGAAATCACTTGAAATTATAGTTTGGTTTCATTTTAGCACTCTATACCATCCATTTCTGTCCAAGTTTATGCCTCTAGGCAATATAAAAAGAAAACCTCATAAAAGAATGAGATTTAATGTTATCCAATCAGCTCTAAAATGCTTTCCTGATTAATAAGGATTTTTTTAAAAAAGAATTAGGCAAAGAAAACCACCCAACATTACAAGTCAGGGTTTACACCAAAGCTGGAACATGACCTGGAGTCCCAGTCAGAAGATTCTGCTATCAGGAATACCATTGTCTTTATGACTCCAAAACCTATCATGGCCCAGGGTTCCTCTGCCTTCTCTCCCTCAGGGACCTGTACCCTGGGTATAGAAGTGAGGAATAAAAGTCTCCTTTTTGGGCCTCAACAGTCATCCCTTGGTGTTGGTGTTTTGTCATCTCCAGAGTAGTATGACAGCCATGTGTTTTTTTAATTTCTCCAACAAACATTTATTAATGAGAATAATTTGGGGAGTGATATGTTCACTCTATCTTGATTGTGGTTATGGTTTCACAGCTGTTATATATACAAAAGACATCAGATTGTATAAATGAAATATGAGCAGTTTATTATATGTCAATTATACCAAATATAACTCTGTTAAAATGTTTATTGGATACTACTCCAGTGTCAGGCACTATACTTGATACTGAGAGTACAGAGATAAACAGGACCTCACAGGTTGAGTACTGCTGGGTTGAACCATGTAAAATTGCTGTATGTATATCTAAAAAATGAACAAATATTGGTAATGGTTCAACTTAACAAGTTAACAATTATATCTGCCTGTACAGTCACCATGAGATAGGCAGTGTGGGTATTAATACCATTTTATAGATGAGAAAACTGGGGCTCACACAGGTATAGTGACTTGCCAGAGGATATTTCCCCTGGAATTTCCACACCTTAGCCACCTCTTATCTGGGTTGTCTTGTGCTGGACATGTGGACCATAGATCGGAAACATAGAAGAGTAAACTCTGGATATGAGATTATTGTGGTTTCTATATTCCAAATGGCCCTCAGAGGTGCTATTCCTGAAGCAATTCTAAAAAGTCACTGGGCTCTAAGAATATGCCCTTTTTCCATGTTGGCATAGGGCTCTTTGTGAACTAGTAGTCTTTTGTACTTGGGATTTCTCTGTGGTATAAGGCACTTGCCTCCATTTGTTGCACCCTTGACTATCTCTTGGGGCTTTGGTTTGTACTCATCACCTGCTTTTTTTCCAAATGAACTTCTTTGCCCTATGACTTTCATTTCTCATTGGCTTGGATATAGATTTTCCTGTCCAATGGTGAATCTTACCCTCTAATTAGAAAGTGTCTTCAAGATCAGGGACTAGAGGGCTCTCAGGATATCACAATATAATAATTTTTTGTTAATTATGTTTTGAGTTTATAAAATTATTGTTTCTATCAGAGGATGTTTCTTTATATTCTCTTATTTTTTACCTACTTTCCATAAAATGGGGGCACTGAGAGCCCCTAATTCATGAAGCTGTTATAAGCATTAAATGAGATAATACATACAGACAACTTAGAACAGTGCCTGGTGCATAGTTAGCAGTCAATAATGTTAGCTATTATTATTATTATACATACAGCATTATATTAAATAGTCCTTGGGGTAGGGGTTAGAGCAGGATAAGATTAGGGATAAAAGTGAGATGGATAATGCAAAGGAACTTCCTGCAAGGAGTTTGCAACCTAGCATGCAATTTTAGTATAAGGGATAATATGATTACTATAATTAAAAAGGCAAAATACACTAGAGGAAAGGTGAAATTCCAAGGTTAGGATGAGGGATTGGGAAAAACCTTCATGGGTAATGCACCATTTGGAGTGGTCCCTAAAGGACAAGTCAGCTTTTGCCATGACAGATGGCCAGGAATAGAGTGAGTATGAAGGACAAAGGGAACCACATAGGCAGAGACAGAGATGGGAAAGTGTTCCCAGGCATTTGGAGGAAGAGGAGTTGGTGTGGTGTACCTAGGGGGGCCATAGGTCTCACAGGAAGTGAAACTATAATCACAGGTTAAGACCATACTTCCAGTAGATTTTAGTGTGGAGGCACCACAAGTAACTGTCAAGATTACTTTGTGCATACTGAGCTCAATGTTAAGTGCAACTGGGTGTCTGTCACAATTGGTGATGATATTGATTCAGAAGCTAACTGCAGTGGGTAGCCCTAAAATTTGTTTGTTCTTAAACCACCTGATAGGACCCAATGAAAATACAGCATCACTTGTGTTACTGCTGCTAAGGATGCACAACCTGAATGTAATAATAAGGGAACATCAGATAAAATCAAATGGAAGGGCATTCTATAAAGTAAGTAGCCTGAAATATTCAAAAGTGTTAAGATCTTAAAAGTCAAAGAGAAGCCAAGGGACTGTATAGACAGATATAATTAAACACATTGTTCTGAACTAGGTACCTTTACTATAAAAGAAGTTATTGGGACAACTGATGAAGCTTGAATGGGACCTAAAGATTAGGTTATAGCTTTGTGTCAATATTAATTTCCTGATTTTGATGGTCACATTATGGTTATATAGGAGAATGCCCTTGTTTGTAGGAAATATTCACTGAAGTATTTGAGGGCAATGGCCATTAAAATAGCAACTAGCTCTCAAATGATTCAGGGGAGAAAAAAGCTCCTTGTACTGTATTTACTGTATTTTAACCTTTTCTCTAAGTTTGAGATTGTTTAAAAAATATGTATATAATTACTAAAATAGGTTTGGCAGGGGAAAATAAGATTAAAATAAAGTTAGCAAGTTATCTTTTTAAAAATACTGTTGACTGGTTACCATGGTGTCCTGAAGAGTCCTCTTAGATTGCCAGCCATCTGTGTGTAGGATGTGGTCCAGGAAGTCAGCATGACAGAGGCTGCTGTGGCTTTTGAGGGACCACACAGAGAAAAGCTGTATCTTGGAATGGTCTTCTGCTTCAGATCCCTTAGTCATATATCTAACACTTTGGTCCCCTCGCCTTGCTGTAAGAAGTAGAGAGCAGAGAGAAATAAAATTGTGGCCCAATAACAATATGCTAATTTCTCTGCTTATGAAAATTAGCAGGTATATTTAAACCTTACCTCATACATTTAGATAAGTCTTATAAGGACCTAGAAAAGAATTTATCATGTCTCTCCTCTTTACCTCAGCATAATCAGAGACAATCTTGCGGTCAATAGTTGAAATGCACAAGGACCACCTACTTAAAGTGAGGTTTCAGCAGGGTAATTTCTCCTTCAGTTTGTTTAAGGATTGTCTATGTGTTCAAAACCTGTCACAGGGGGGAAAAAGTTTAGAACATTGTTAATTCCCACCCCACACCCTAGTCACTGCGACAGTATCTGCTACCAGCACCACCACTATCACAACCACAATCTGCCACCACAACTGTGACAGCATCTTTTCAAAAAGCCCAAGAGATGTGCTACCTTGCCCAGTGGCTGAGCCACCTCCCAAAATCCAGCCTGTGTAATTCCAAAGGCCAGTGATTAAATCCCTCAGCCAGTTGCCTGTTAAGCACTTTAAATAATTCATGTGCATATTGTATGCCACACCATGCTAAGTGCTTTACATTTATTAGTTAATTTAACTGACATAAAATCTTATTAGGTGAGTGCTTCTTTTATTCCTAATTTTATAGATTAACATGCTGAGATTTGGAAAGTTACCTGTTCAAGGTCACACATCTCTTATGTTGCAGAGCTAGGATTTGATCCCAGATCAATTTCACCCCAAAGCCAATCTCTTGGCCACTTTGCTATACTGTCTCTCAGGCCATTTGGTCTTATCAACTAAATTATATGCAAATCCCAACACCTCAGTCTAGCTCATACTTTAGAGAATGAGACTTTGAGCAGGTTACTTCAAGTCTCTGGTCCTCAGTGTCTTCACCTGTAAAATGTGAATAACATTACCCACCTCATAGGTGGTAGCAAGGATTAAATTTGTTATGTGTGCAAAATGCATTTAGAACACTCCTGGCACATGACAAATGCTGAGTACATAATGACTAGTAGTATTACATAAATCAGAATGTGCCATGGGGAATACAGTATCTCTTGAAACAGTATCCAGATGATTCTAGCTTATCAGACTATCTTTACCCCAGTAGGGAGAGATGACTTTTTTCTCTCAACAACAGCATAATAAACTTGGGAGTTCTGCTCTACTCACTCTGTCTCCTATGAAAATAGGAGAACTTTATTGTTCTCTGTAAATTATTTAATTCATAAGTATTATGGAGAAACTACTACCTGTTTCAGCACTGTACTAAAGAGTGAGACCATTACAGAAGGATGAAATAAGAGTCCCGCCTCCAAGAAGCCAACAGTCCAGTGGAAGAGACTAGCATGGGAGAAATAACAATGAGGAATTCTGGGCTGTACATAATTAAGTGCTCAGTGGTATGGTATTTATTTGAAGAGACATAACAGTTTAACAGACAGAAAGGAGGGAATTGGAATCAATATTCATATCTAAGCTATATGATGAGAATATCTACTCCTAAAGTATGCAGCAGAGTTGTCTGTTGGGTGTTCACTAAAGCCAGAGTCAGGCCAGCCCAGTGGGCATGTGGGCAAATGTCACCTAGTCAGTCCCCTTTCCCTCTCAGCAATCCCTTATCCCTTCTCAAGTCTGTTTTTTACCAAGCCATTTTCAGTGTTTACTCTCTTACCCCATGTTATTTTTCTTCTGAGCAATCATTGCTATCTGACTTGATCATATATATTTCCTCCTTTTTGTATATTGCCCATCTCTCCCACTGGATTATCAGCTCCTTGATAGCACGGGCTTTGTTGTCTTCACTCCTGCATCCCAAGGCCCCAGAACAGTGCCTGGCTCAATAAATATTCTTTGGACAAAGGAATGAACCCTTGTCAGACCTGCTCTCTTCAGCTTTCTCCTTTGTTCTAATGCCAAGGCTATCCCCAGTGCTGATGACAGAGTTAGCTGCTGCAGATAATTATAACAGCTACTATTTATTGAGCCATGCTATCGGCTAGGCTGTATAATATAGTCCACACAACCATCCATGAAGTCTAGAATGTTATTCTTCCCAGCTTACCAATGCAGCAAACGAGAGCTAAAGAGAGTATTTAATATGTCCAGGTTCACATACTTAAAAGATAACCAACTTCCAATAAGGGTTGACTACATATATTTTGCTCTATGGCTTTAGTCTTATGACAACCTCTAGTGGTGTTGGCATAGGCCCAGAATTTGACTCAGAGAAGAAGAACCCTGAAAAGATAGGAGTGGAAGCTGAGAGAGTTGGTGGGTAGGTGTTATGGATTGAATTGTGCCTTGCCTTCCCCAAATGCATATGTTCAAGTCCTAACACTAATACTTCAAAATGTGACTCTAGGTGTAAATAGGGTCATTTCAGATGTAATTGTGATGAAGTCATGCTGGAGTAAGGTGTAACCTACCTCAAATATGACTGCTCTCCTTATAAAAAGAGGCAATTTGGAGACAGACACACACACAGGGAGAACGCCATGTGAAGATGAAGGCAGAGATTGGAGTAATTGCCAGATAACCACTAAAAGCTAAAAGGGAAGCATGAAACAAGTCCTTTCTTCACAGCCCACAGAAGGTACCAACCTCACAGCCCACAGAAGGAAGCATCCCACAAAGCCAGATCCCTCACATGTCATATATTGGTGGTCCTGCTTGATGGAACAAGTTAGAAACAGGACACTTATGGGGAAAACATCCATAATCTCTGCAGTGTCTGCTGTAGGATATTGATTCCACTGTCCTTTAACCCTCTGGCACTGGGTTGCTATTACATTACTGGTAATGAAGAGAGAATCCTGCCAGGAATAAAATGGTTGGAAGTCACTATAATAGATCTTTTCACAGTAAAAATAATGAGAGCTCATGACTGATTTCATAAAGAATGGCAAGAAAAATATTCATGCCCATCCCAGGCCAAATACCCATCCTCACAAACCTACTCAGGGATTTTCAGCAATGTATATACTCCTCCCAAGTCCAGGCAATTTCTCTTCTGAACAGAGCTTCTCTGTCATGACAAGAGCTTTCCTCATATGTGGAGTTAGTGTTTGATTTTTCTAACACAGGAGTCAGCAAACTTTTTCTGTAAAAGATCAGATGGTAAATAATTTAGGCTTCAAGGGCCATCTCTTTTGCAACTACTCATTCATGCTATTGTGTGAAAGTGGCCATAGACCATATATATATGAATGGCTGTGGCTGTGTGCCAATAAAACTTTATTTAAAAAAGAGGCAGTAACCAGGTTTGACCCATAGGCCATAGCTTTCTGGTCCCTGGTGTGCAGCATAAAAAGACTAAAACTTTGCATCCCATGGATACAATATTCCTCTTTTTGAAGCTTTGGTGTCCTGATTTTTCCTGGGAAATGACATCTCAGGACCCATATTCTTTTGCATTCCCATGATGAAACAGAGGGGAGAAATGAATAAATAAATCTCATTTCTTTCAGGGCTCCATATTGCCAACACTGAACTGAACTGATGCCAACCTGTGTCTCTTTAATTGCTTCCCCTAGAATATATCAACTCATAAATTTTGTGATAAAGAAACTGCCTTACGGAGTGTCTCCTTCAGTGATGAAATGGCATTGATAGAAGAAGACTAGACTGTGTGTCTGGAGCCTTGGCATTTTGTCCCTGTCTCTGCCCCTGATAAGCCCAGTGACCTCTCACACATCATTTCATCTCTCCGATGTGACAACTCATTCCCTATCTACTTTATGGGACTGTCATGAGAGGAAAGTAAAAAGACCAAGAGACGTGAAAGTATTTTGTAAGAAGTTAAATTGTCACAAATCTATTTCTCCAAGGTAGCCAAGAATATACGAGAGGGATGCTTTTCTGCATAGATGAAAATGTTATAATGAAAAAAGAACACTAAGCCCTCATGATGTAGAGGAACAGGAAAGAAGAGGACGAAGGGCTGCACATGAAGCTAGGACAGTTTTAAGCCTTCCCATTAGACTGGCTGGTTGTTGTGTCATGTAAATTGTGTCATCTAAATTGATTCCTTTCACTTTGGGTTGTTTCCCACCCAGCAAGCTTATTGGAAAGACCAGGTGCTCATTATTAAATTCCTTTGTTTATTTCCCCCCAAATCTATTAAATCAGCACCAAACAATGAGAATTCTGTGACACTAAGGCAAGTGACTTATTTATCTATTGTTATCTATTGCACCTGGTTTTGATAGTCCTCGTTTCTATGTGTTAAAAACACAGATTTTATTGCAAAAAAATAGCTTATAGGGGAACGTGAAGGGGAGTGAAGGGGAGCAATTCTCTGACTGACCATTCTAAATGTCAATGCTTTTTAAAAATGCATCAAAACATATAGAATCAGAATGTTTACTAAGAGGCCAGACTTTCATCAATCCTTATAGGAAACTCTTATTTGAGATTAAGCCTGGGGTGGGAGATTTGCTGCAGGGAAAACAGCAGTGGGGTGGGGAAGCCTCGTTTGGGTCAAGGCTCTGCCACTACCTTGCTGTGTGAGTTTTGCTAAGTTAGTCACCGTTGGCCTGTGTCTTCTCATTTATAGAAAAAAGATATTTAATTTGATGTACTCTAAGACTCCTTTTCCCATCTACTTTTTACAAATTAATAATGCGGTCACCATGATGCTCATCATTTATTTGTTCAGGAAATGTTTATTGATATGCTTGTATGAGCTAGTCACTGGGAGTACAATGATAGACAAAAACAGATTCAGATCCTTCACCTTTTGTATCCCATGGAGTAGAGATAATCTCTCTGTTCCCTCCCTTGAAGCAGAGAAACAGAAGGGCATTGATACTATCATTGTACAATTGCTATTTTAGCTCATCCTTTACAATAGCACAAATTTTACCGAAGTCTTAAGATAATGTTGACCTGACTTAGAAACAGATTTTGGGGTGGTGAACACACAATACAATATATAGATGATGTATGATACAACTGTACAACTGAATCCTATATAATT